TTGTGGAATGAACTGGGAATGAAATCTTTACGATAGAGAATCAGTGGAGAAACAGTTTGGCCTTTGAGCCATTACTGCTTGAATGCGCCACGCACATGGCCGCTATTCATAACTGCGGGCGTTTGCAGGCGTTTTGTACCTGTACATGAGCCCTAGAATCCGGCTTTCTTCTGACTGATTTCGTTGTTGCTGACAGGTTTATTTTCCGTTGAACGAGCCTCTAGAACGAGGACCCATAAGAAGAGACGATTCCACGGGATTGAGTGTCCAGCCTTACGCAGGACTGCGACGTGGCGCTCTAGTAATTGCCTAATCTCCGTTTCTCAAAGGCACATTCCGCGGTTAACAGAGAGACCGAGCCCTTCTTGATGTAGGTAACCTGGGTCCATGGCAGCCCAGAAGAGCATTTTTGTGTCTCGAAAGTGCAGGAGTACCACTTAGGCCCATAGGGCCCGACACCCGTGTCGTCATGAATAACATTGTGCTCACTCGTTCGTCGTTCTCTGGTCTCTTTCCCGCGCTATTTGGTGTACTGTCACTTCTGGCGTCCTGCAGTTGATCATGCCCGTCCCTGGTCCACAGTAGTGATCAGCTGCGAAAGGGATAGCGCTTAGGCCTTAGTATTTATACCACGCTGCCTTTGAACCCCAATTGTGGAATGTGTTTTCATCACTTTGTCTTCCAGGTGTACGCCCGTACAAATGTGAACAATGCGACAAATCGTTTACGCAGCGCTGTTCACTCGAATCCCACCTACGGAAAGTTCACGGAGTCCTGCACAATTATGGCTATAAGGAGCGAAGGAATAAGGTATTGTACTCGCGAAACTCCTTTGAATTATTGGTGTTTAACTGAAAAAGGAAATAGCATCTCCTGAAATTTGCGAAACCAAGGATCAGGGAAAAGTCAGTTAGAAGTGAAGCTAATCACAAAAGCATCATGAAGTTGAGATAATTCACAGTAATCCGAAATTTTTCGAGAAAGGGAGGGGCTACGCGCTTTCAACGATTGTGGCAATTTAGGCTAGACTTGAATGCACTTTTCACGCTGAACCTAGGGTGAAGTCCTTCGGGTAAGTGCGCCAT